CATAGCTTTGATCACATTAAGGCACCAAAGCAACAAGGGGAAGCCATAGATCCTAATCCAGGTTTGATCCGTCGGAGGATCCTGCTATTCTTCTGACTYCAGGTAGATACACCCCGAACTAGCCCCCCACCAATCGAGCAGCACATTGGATCTCCCCAAGCACCAGGGAGAGATAACAAGAGCAATTTTATTAATTGAACCATTTTTTTATCAATAACAAAGAGAAATTTTATTAATTGAACCAGCAATACATACAAAGATCTAGGGAGAGATAAAATGACTTAACTCTCCCTGAAATGATTCAAGGTAAAATTATAATATTGTCCAAAACAATTGACTCCTATCCACCCCTATTTTGCCAAATTATCAGCAAAGGCATTTGCAGTTCTCTTCACCCAATGAACCTGAAATTCCACTCTCCTCAGTAACCACTTAGCCCCTCCTTTCATTAGCATAAATCCAGAACCCATTACCACTCTTTAGCCAATCTAACACTAACCGTGGGTCTCCTTCAATAATCACCTTTTGTATGTTCAGTTCCTTTACCTTTCTTAGCCCTACCAGCAAGGCTAACAGTTCAGCTCTAAGAGAATCACCCATCCCAATGGGACCTGAGTATAAGGCAACCACCCTCCCATTTTCATCTCTGATTGCTCACTGCTCCTCCCACCCCTGAAGGGACTGGATTGCCTTAATTACTCCCATCACGGGGCTGGAGGTGACCACCAAGGACACACCACTGATTGAGCCGGCCCAGAAGATGCCACTTCCTTCCAGTTATTCAGCAGCATACCAGTGGAAACATCAGCAAAAAGCTCCAAAGTTTTCAACCAGTGCATCACTTTACCTGTTTTGATTTCAACCAGCTCTTCTTTTCTCCTTTCTTTTTCAGAAAAGATCCTTAAATTCCTTTCTTCCCACAATATCCAGCAAACGGGAGCTCTCACACATCTCCACATGATTTTACCTCTTTTCTTCAGGCCCCTAAAGAAAGAAGCAGCAAAGAAGCCTTGTATACTTGGAGGGGGTAGCCACCTGTAGCCAAACAGATCCATAAACCAAGCCAGAACCGAAAGAACAAGAAATTAATAAATGGTAGGGGCTTTCACCATTAGCTTTGCATAGGATGCACCAGTGTGGAGACAAGCACCTATTCGGCCTTTTTCTTTGGAGCAAGTTACAGGTATTACATCTTTCCAAGAAGGCCTCCCAACAAAAAGCTCCGATCCTTAGAGGAATCAGATAACCCCAAAATTCCTTCACAGGAAAGTGCTAGAAGCTAATGTTAGCAGAGTGAGCCAAAGACTTAAAGAATAAGACACAAGAAAACACTCCAAAAGGGGTTAAGGTCCAAATTCTGCTGTCCCTTTTAGAGGGGTCCAACACCACCCTATTCAGAATCTGAACTAACTCCAAGGCATTCTCAATTTCTGATTCCATGAGACCTCTTCTAAAACCCAAATCCTAGTCAAACCCAAAGGTGGACTCAGAGGGGACCAGGAAGAAAGACACAGGTTCCTTTTTAAGTTGAGAGATGGAGAATAATGCAGGAAATTTGTCTTTTAAAGGCATTTCTCCCACCCAAAGGTTTTCCCAGAATTTCACTTGGTTATCAGAACAGAGATCATACCCGATGTGCTGCAGAAAGGAAGGGTCAAGAGAGGATGGCATGAATAGATCTCCAAGGAGAGGCTTTGGTGGTCCTTGCCGCCAGACCCAAGTCCCAACCGTCCTCAGTAAGCCCATGTATACTTAGTATCACTTTAGCCCACAGCTTATCTCTGTCCTTCGCTAATCTCCATAACCACTTTCCCAACAACGCTTCATTCCTCTGCCGAATATTTCCTATAACCAGGCCTCCTCCCTCCCTACTTCTAGAGACTATCTCCCACTTCACCCTATGGTCTTTCTTATCCTCCCCCGGCTCCTACAAGAAATCTCTCATCAGTTTCTCCAAACTCTTACTTATACCCTCTGGGATCCTAAACACCAATAGATAATAAACTGGCATACTAGCCAAGGTGGACTTTATCAAGGTAATTCTGCCTCCCAATGATAGATAATTTTTCTTCCAAGAAGCCAACCTCTTCGTGAATCTATCAACCACCGAACTCCAAAAACTGCTATTCCCCGGATCACCCAAAGGCATCCCCAAATACTTCAGTGGCCATTGTGACACCTCACATCCCAAGATTTCTGCACTTTTTCTCATAGCATTCTCCTCCATGTTTATCCCCACTACACAACTTTTATCAAAATTGACCTTCAAATTTGACATTTTCTCAAAAATTTGCACTACCCACTTCATGTTCCTAATCCACTCCACCTCCTCCCTATCACAAAACAATATTGTACAGTCAGCAAATGTAAATGAGTGATAGGTATTTCATCTCTTCCCACCCTCCAGCCCTTCACTAGGGGTGTCAACGGTATTCAAAAATCCGATTTCGAATTCGATATTCGACATAATCGAATCGAATTCGGATAATTCAAATATCTAATCGATCAAATTCGGATATCCCATTCTTACCAAATAGTTAATCGGATTCGAATTCGAATATGACCTGATTCGATTCGATAAATATCCGAATTCAACCGATTATTTAATTTTTATATATAATATATAAAATATTTTATATAATATATATAATAATTAAGTTATATAAATAATTTATATATTTATATATTTATATACTCATATACTTTATATCAATAAAATATTTATTTTATATATTTATTAATTATCTAAAATAATTAATTAATCGAATCGAATTGAATATTCGAATATTCAATCGGATTCGAACTCGGATATTAATTTTCAATATCCATCAGATATCGGATTTTCTAATTGGATTCGAATTCGGATATTGCATGATCCGATTCGAATTTGATTCGTTTACACCCCTACCCTTCACTAGGTTTCTAGCATCTGCCCTTTTAGATGTAGTTGGTTCTAAGTCGTTCAGATGTATGTTGCTTCCAGAAAACTTGTAAATCATTTTATTTCAATCAACATTCTTTCTCCCCTCTTATTGAAAAAGAAAAGATCTATTATATTAATATTTGAAAATTATTTATAAACATGGCATGTGTAGAACAAGATGCCCAGGAATTAGCGCACACCCCCCCCCCAAAGAGAACCAAACCTAGCATAGGTTAGGAGTTCTGAAGATGATGGTAAGGTGCCTAAAAATTCTTTGCCTGTTCTTAGAAATTCCTTCATGAAACTGCTTGTATTATTATTAAAAATATTTGCAATTCCTTCACCTAATAAAACTTGTAAGCTTACAAATGGAAGTATATGCCACAAGATCCTTACTTTCTCATTCAACTGCTTCATGGACCATCTATTGAGCACATCCATGAAAATATTATACAATCCCATACACACAATCAGGAAAATAAGACTAAAGGTACATGCTAAATTCACAATGAAGTTTAAGTGATTGGCTGATTTTGCATCACTTAAGTAAAGCGTAGATGCAATGTACATAATCTACCATCTACTTAAGAAGTTTATTCACAGTCCTAATGGAACTATGCACACCATAAAGCAGTTCCRATGGAAGACAAAAACTCCAAATGCATGTGGAACTCAACCTATAAAAGAAATAACAGACTGCAAAACTTCAGAAGAGCTCCAAATCCAATTCAATCCATTTTCTATATTCACTCACGTTTTTTATTTCAGTAATAGGTGAAATAGGAGCAATTTCAATTTCTTATGTCAATTACAATATAGATGCACTGTGCTGCTTACAGCTTAACAGAAATTAAAAAGCAATCTTCAAGATGAGGTAAAGTTAGAGCCTAGGTATGCTCAGCTTTTACTATAATAACCCTATTTCTTATGTCTATAACTTTTCAAGAAAGTTACGCTCATAATTTACACATCTTTAGAACCAAGAAGCATTCTCTCAAACTTTTTCTTTTTCATATAGTGTAACTCCATTAAGGCCTAGTACTAAAACAAGTGAGACCAATTCTCTGGAAGAAAATAAGACTTCTCTCTCATGACCCAAACCCTAGAATCCAATTTTTTTATTCTACTTTCATTTTGTTATTTGAAAGAACAGTCCCTGGTACCCCTGTTCTATATCAGGGACTTAGGCCTATTGACAATTTGGTGGTGCCATGATACCCTTCCAAGACCCCCATATACAAGTGGAATTCATCAAAAGCAAAGCAAAAAATTGGGCTCTTCTTGGAAAATAAGCATCTCTTACATCCATCCATGAACCACAGTTTCTGCTACAAACTAGGTAAGTCAGTTAAACACTAAGCTTTAGTACATCAAAGCCATAAAGGAAACGATAGAAGAAGAAACAAGATGGAACACAACCTCAATCCATTCACGGAGCTACAAAGAAAATTGAAAAAATAATGCAACATGTAGCAATAAAAGGTAGGAAAAGAAATGCATCTTACAATATCCAGGCTAATAAGCACATTAAGGGATTGAAATTATGTATTGTTTGAAGCTCCTTGTTGTGCAGTTCTAAGCATGTACAGTTCTTGATTGGGCACTGCACAGCTCCTTGTTGTGCAGATATGGTTTTGCTTTTTGCCTATTATATCTCAAAAAAAAAAGTTCTAAGCATCCATACATGATATTTCAGGTAGCAAGGAATCGAAATTATTTAAAAAGAAAGAAACAACAATATTCCGTGTCTTGTTAAAAATTACTTGTTCGTGTTAAGATACCGTATTCGAGCGATGCTCCTTGGAGACTTATTGGATCTTACCCTTCTTTTGGGACAAAGCTTGTGAATTATAACAGAAACTAAAAAGAACTAACAATACCACGGATACGAACAGAAAGCAAGATCCCGATAATGAAATAAACAGTACAATAAACCCAATAGCTTTGTACATATTCCGGAGCTTTTGAAAAAGTACCCAGAATAGATTTCATCATTAAAATCCAATTCTGGCAAAATTTACAGTAAAGAAACTCGAAATGAATGAGACAAACCATAAGGAGATAAAAAGAAAAATACCTGGGTTCTGAGGCTTTTCATCCCTAAGATTCGGAGCAGTCGTAGATTCACTCCCCATATTCTCCTCTTCCGTTAAACCGATTCCTCTTGAAGTACACGCCCACAAGGAGAAAAAACAGTTGAATTTGACCCAGAAGAAATTGATATTTGTAGAAGGAGATTAAAGAGAGAGAAAGGTGTGGAATTAGAAGTGATGTGGAGCAACTAAAAGCAGCAACAGATACCTGGCGATGATTTTTGGACAAAGAGAAAGAGATGCGAGTAGTAGGTCTCACAGAATTTTGTTCATAATCGAACCGCTGTTTCTGTGTTTTGTTTGCTGGAGCTGAAAAGCGCCAAATGACAAAGTGAAGTCAGTGCCCTCGTCACTGACTTCTTTATCTTTCGTTACCCACCTCCCACCGCGCTCCGCGCTGTGCTCTGTCCTCCTCCGGTATCCTGATCAGATAATTTCAAGGCAATTATGCATTTCTGTGCAAATTACGACACGTGTACGCTTTATATCCGTGGATATCCTTGAAATCGTACATTTCGACGGCTAAGAGTGCGAGTTAAGATCCGTTCCAACTAAATACGTTCCAGTACGCTTACAATGTAATCTTACACCGCAAATCTTACCATGAGAATGGGGCCCATCATCTGACACCACTTTCAGAGTAAACCGACCATGAGACTGGGCCCTACTGTGTGAAATGTGCGGCGTCCGATCTATCCGGACTCTAAAAGTGCACCAGTGTGGCCAAGTTCSGATCTGACGCCCCGCACTAGCAATAAACAATAAACRAGTGGGACAACTCCATTGTGGACGCTGCTCAAACAGATTCGGCCCACGAGAATTCTGTTCACGTCTACTCACAAATACACTATCTCGTGAATTGGGAGCATCTCTCGCTGCATAGATTATGCAGGAGGATGAGATGTTCTCTATGTGTGGCTATGATATTATATGGGTAGACGTGGGTAGAATTTGGGTGGACAGAAAATCTGGACTCACTCAAACACTATTGATAGAAAATACATATACGGAAACATCTAGCCACTTATACTATCTGAGGCTGGATCTGCTTCTCACAGGCACATCCACCCTACATCAGGAACATCTCCCATGAATTATAACTAATAAGTATGGGAGATGTTTCCAATGCATGATAGGATGTACATGTGAGGCGCCAGGTGTGAGAAACARATATGGTCTCCATAGAGCGTGCCTCACACTGGTCTCACAATGTCTTGGTCACACATCAAGAATATCTCCTATACTTGTATTTATTTATTATTYATGGGAAGATGTTCTCAATACAGGGTGAAATGTGGCTGTGAGGTTGATGTGAGACATGTTCTATGAGGAACAGATCTCAATTCATACCATCTATTATGTTCTCTACAGGTGCGTAAATAAGTCAGACTCCTAAGTGGAGAGATGTTCCTGATGTACGGCTATGTGTGTGGGTAGGGTGTTGCACGCTTTGTACTGCAGTACGAGTGATCCGATCTCACATTAATCATGCAGATTCCAAAGTGAAATGTGGATTTTGTCCTCACATGACCATCTTACACCATTTTCCCAACCACTTGCAGCCGTACATTAAGAATATCTTCCCATAAATAAAAATATACAAATATGAAGATGTTCCTAAGGCACAGCTGTAAAAGGTTATAAAGAGTACGTGAGAAAAATTTGTGGGATGAAATCCCGCCTCCTCCAAGTGGACTCGATACCTCTTATCACATTTTTCTTGATTTTGGACAATGTTTTTATTAGGAGTAAGGAGTAGGAGTAGCTGTATTGCTCAAGCTAAACGTTTTTTGGGTTAGGCCTAAGCCTAGTAGCCCTAGACTACCTCAAGTCCAAACCCACCTTAATCTGAGTTCTGACCTTCTGCCCATGAGAACCCTACCCACATTTATCACAGTCACATATGGAGAACATCTCATCCTTTGCATAGTATTATGCAGGGGGAGATGTTCCCAATTCACAGGGGGTACTGTGTTGTGGGTAGACGTGGGCAGGAGATCCGGATTACCTTAATCCACCCTAATTATATAAGTATATATAAATATTCACAAATATACATTTTTCATCAATATTTGCATAAATTACATCCACACATACACATACATGTCAGATTGACCAACCGAAATATATACATGTTGGGTTTAGGTTAGATAAAATGGGCTTGGTTAGGGCTAAGTCCTTCGATTCAATTTCTAAGGTTGAATGGATTAGCCATAAACTCGACCCAGTTTGCCTAATTTGCACCCCTACTCTAAGCCAATCAACCTTTTTTTTTTCTTGAACATAATGATTATGATATGATAATATTACAACTATTTCTGTTTTTTTTTTTCATCCAAAACTGGTATCTTTTTAATACAGAGAAGTATGGATATACCCAGTGCAGATTTTTGACTTATGCTATAAAACTATAAATATTCAAAATGTCAAAAGCCCCCACTTTATACATCAATGCCCGTTGACGAATGAATATCAATTCTAAACTGGCACCGTCTCCAACTATACTTTAAGCCTAAAAATTCTGATCCTGGGCTGAACCGTCATTCTTCCCTTTTTAATATGCCAAAATACATGTACATGACTTATAATCAGTGTGGATTTTAATCGGAACAACTCCATCCTTCTTACATCGGGCGTCATTTACATTACCAATCTAGATTATTGATAGGGCCGGTTGCGTCTGTATTTCGATTGCCAATATAATCCGTTCATGATTGATTTTACCACACTCAACCCTACTAAGACCTGTTATTTTCATGACAGAACAACATAAGTTTTCAACCTGTGAGTCTGTGACCTAGACAGCAGAACCTGTGACGATCACCTAACACAAATTCAATTGGGTCAATCTCTAACCCTCCATACATACAAAAATTATTGGCTTGTTCAATGAGCCATCAACTTTGATGGTTGACCCATTGATCCATTGGCCATTTAATGGGAATATTTGTTTTATATATGTATATATATAACAGAAGCTGATAAGACACATTAAATAACTAATTTTATTTATATAAATAGATTTAAAATTAATTATTTGAGTAAACGAAGCAAATTAATTTATTGGTATTTAATTATTTAATTTAACTTGATTAATTAAATATGATAAATAAATTAATTATTAATTTAATTAATATAATTAAATACTTAAGTTACACTAATTATTCAAATTTTAAAATAAATAATTTTACAATTACAAATAATAGCTTCAAAATAATTAATAAAATCTTAAAAAATACATTTAACTAAAACATTTTAACAAGTGTATAATGTTAGAGGGGTTGGGGAAATGGGAGGAGGGATGGGAGGGAGTGGTTGAATTCTTCAAGAGGGAGATGGAGAGAAGAGGAAATGTTTTCAAATATTAGTTTGCTTTTTGTTTCATAGATTTCAATTGAGACGTTAAAGAGGTGTAGATGAAAAGGCCTAGCTTGGCCCAAAAATTCTAGGCTTGATCCTAAGTTTTGTGTTGATACTTGGTTTGGACCTGGCCCTACAAATTTTTATCCCAAGATTTGGCCCAATACTATAGCCCAGCATGAGCTCCCAGTAGATTCACAAATTTCCAAGTCAATGTCTGTAATATTTTTTAGATCCAACCTTGAATTAATTCGTGACTGGGTGGAACCGACTCTGACCCGATAAGAATCATGACAATATATAATGAACCGAAAACCGAATTGGCCCACTCGGTTGAGTCCATCAGGTTCAACCCAACCCATTAACTAGGGATGCAAACAGATCGGATTGGATGCAAACAGATCTGGATCCGATCAGACACTCTTAATTGTAAGTTCGATCAGAAGATCCGATCGGATATGATAAAACATGGGTTTGAATTCGAATCCAATGATGAAGTCAGAATTTTCAAATCTGATCCACTCTAATTTTGATTTTTTTAAATAACAAATAATTAAAATATAACAATTTAAATAAAGACAAACAAAACTATAAGTATATTTTCAACTATTTTCATCATATATACATGTTTTTATAAAAAATAAATAATATAATAAATTTACAAAAATGTAATATAAACAATATATTTCTAATTCGTCATTATGTGGAACATGCTCCGACCCGATAAGAATCGAGATAATATATCAGGAACCGAAACCGAATTGACCCAATTGGTTTGGGTCCATCAAGTCCAACTCAAACCATTGATAGACCTAGAACAAGAGAGAGAGAGAGAGAGAGAGAGAGAGAGAGAGAAAGGGCAATAAATTAAAAGTATAAAGAGAGTAATAACAATTTTGTGGCAATATTGTAAATTATAATTACATATTGATGGTACTATTGTAATTACATGAAAATTCAATGACATAAAAAAGAGGCAATGGTTACTTTTAATGGCACTCCTGTAATTAATAAAAACTCAAAGTGACAAATAATGGCACATTTGTAATTAGCAAATGCTCATGAATATCATAGTTGATTTTTTGCACGAGAGTTAAAAGAAAAATGGTAGTTCAATAAGGTGAGATTGGATTTTACACTTTGATCTTCTATTGGGTTTTACATTTAACATTTAGTTTTACTTGTTGGTTTTTCAAAGCCCAAAGATTCTATTTTGTGAATTCTAAGGGCTCCTTCTGTACACCATTTCCTTGTTAGTATATATAGGAAAAATTCCCGATTAGTACTTTGTACTTTCGGCCTAGTGCCACTTTGGTCCCTGAATTTTAAAATGGACGATTTAGTACCCAAACTTTCAAATCATGACAATACAATACTTATTGTTAATTAGCTGTTAACCAGCCATTAGGTGTCATTTGAAAAAGACACAAATGCCCTTTGAGTGTTATCTAATTTTATTTATCAACCATCCAAACATTGGCAAAAAATTAACAATCTCAAATCCTTGCCTCTTCTATTCAAGAAAGTTGGGGTCACTAGAATGCCCACTCAAATACGACCCCAACTTTCTCAAATGAAAAATGCAAGGATTTGAGACTTAATTTTTTGTTAATGTTTAGATGGTTGATAAAGAAAATTAAATAACACTTGAAGGGAATTTGTGTCTTTTTCAAATGTCACTTAACGATTGGTTAACAGCTATTTAACGGCAAGTACTGGATTGTCATGTTTTAAAAATTTGGGTACTGAATTGTCACATTTTAAAGTTCGGGGACCAAAGTGGCAATAGGCCCAAAGTACAAGGTACTAATCGAAAATTTTCCCATATATATGACCAATTGGCTCACAAAATTTACAGGCTGGGCCATTCTAGGAATGATGACCCTTACCTGAATAGTACAAAGAGCTGACAAGAAAGTAGAGACCTTCTCAAGTGGTTTGGAGTTGAGAGAAAGCACATGGATCCTGTTTCCTTTGGTTTCTCGCACGTAAAATGATTATGTGCCTCCCCGGGCTTAATCTCTGTATTTTCATTAGGCTAAAAAAAAAAAAGAAATTTTCACATGATAAGTCACTTGTCCCACGACCCATATAGTAAATTAGAGGGCCATTTACTAAAACACCCACTATAGTTCCATTGATTTACTAAAACTTATCCTATAGTTTCTATTTTACTAAAACATCCCTTATGGTTTGCAATCAATTTACTTAATTAACCCTCCATTAAATGAAAATAGAAAATGATAGTTTCTACTCTAATACCCATTCAAATAAATTTAATCAAAAGAAACTAAAACCAAAAATGTCATTTTTGCCCCTAGTATAACATGGACATTCACTTTATTTTCTCTATTTGGTCAATTTTATTCTCTATACAAAAAGTGTTATGGGTACTTTTAAACAACCATGGATCCATACCCTTGAACATTTTTCACTCATTTAAGGGTACTTTTGGAATAAACAACTAGGGGTCCATGCCCTTGAACATTTTCCAATAACTTGGTGGTAATGTTACTATTTTCAGATAGCAAAACAAATAGTTATTAATGAAAGGTCGATTAAGTAAATAGGTTGTAAACAATAATGGGTTTTTTAGTAAAATATAAACTATATGGTAGGTTTAAGTAAAAATGTGAAACTATAGGGGGTGTTCTAATAATGACCCTAAATTATAATTCACATCTACCCCATGGGCACCCCACAACACATCCCAACTATGTATTGGGAACACCTCCCTGTAAGGGAGATATCACCAATGCACGCTGAGAGATGTGAACTCAGTAAATTACACATTAAAAAAAATACTCATGGAAATAGGGTGTCAATTGGACTAGATTTGGTTTAATCCGATTCAGTCCAATGTAAATCCATTACAAATGGACCAGATCCAATCCAATAAATAGTTTGGACCAATCCAATTCAATGTTTGGACCATCCAATATGTTCAAATTTGTTTTAATTTAGAGCCCGTTTGGTTCACAGTTGAAATTGGAATCAAAATCCTCCGGAATCAGAATTGGAATGGTCCATTCCCATAGTCTGTTTGGTTCAGACAAGAATGAGAATGAAAATTAAAATCCGAAGGAATGGGATTTCATTCCCAAGGGAGGGGCAGGGAATGGCCATTCCCTCAAATGGGGGATGCTATTCCAGCAGGAATAGAAATGAGATTCCGATTCTGCCCAACCAAATAGTTAAAATCCGAATAGCCCATTCCAATTCCGATTCCAGACCCCTAATCTTATAAACTAAACAGGGCCTTAGATTTGTTTCAACTTTCGATCCGAAGCTAGTCCATTGAAACATATATTCTTACCTTATATCAATGGACCTGATATTGATTCAATCCAATCCAATCCAATATAAATTTACACCCAAGTGATTTGTTTTGTATACAATAACTTTCTTGGTTGAATACTTGTATGGTTCAAAAACTAAAAGCGAATAAACCACAAAATACCGTCAAATGGATTTCATTTCCCAAAGAAGTCGGTAATCACATCGAAAAAGTTTATCCCACCCATTGCATGTATCATCCACATCGGTCCCAATTCTCCAACTACTGTAAGGCCTATGCTTTCACTAAAAACCCTCAAGCTTATTCATCTAATCAACAAAAATAAGAAACATATATTCAGACTCAGTTGTCAAGTTAAGCAATCAAGGATCAGAGGACCAAAGTCACAGACACAGTACTAGTGCAGGAAATTAGATGCCACGTAAAAAACTAACATTGCAGGTTGCAACACGCCTCACAAGCTAATAAGTTGTTGAAAAGATGGCCCATGAGTTTTAATTTACAAATCAAATGGGCTGGCTAAAATCTAATTTAATTCCTCAAACAAAAACTTCAGCATAAATTACCAATTTGCCATATTGGATATCAACCAAAATATCAAATATCCTCGTACTGTGGTCGGGATCATTAACCAGTCATTTTCAAGGGAAAAATTAAAGACCCTTAGGAAGAAGTACAAATCAGCCCAGCTCAGAATTTACTAGGCCCAAAGTACAGGGGGAATGCATCTGACCGTGAAATTGATACCAAATTCACGGGCAGAATGTGGTTTATAGTGGGGGACAGGGCTAGTAAGGGGGCGCTGGAATTCAGAATTCTGCATCGTGTGTCTCCGTACTTTTCCCTAAGGATAACGTAAAGGTACCGCGAGTGGATGTTTAACTTACTTGGGCCTTGGAATYAAGACATTTAACAGCCACTAAATGAAACTATGATTGTAGACATGCATTAACACAACCTACTTTCCGTCCTTTCAGCATCTTGAAAGAATTTATGACCACGTAACCAMCAATAGTGCTATATTATATTCTCACGTCTCTTTACCCCTCAAAATTTTAGGGACCAATGAAAAATAGCAAAACCCACAACTTCCGAGATTTAGACAAGTTAAACACGAGAAGCAAATCAGCAGCCAACGTTGAGTAATAGGGACCCAGAGGCCGAATAGTAAACGCAATATTCTGAACAATTAAAAACATGTGCATACATATCTAGGCAAATAGTAAACGCAATAATACATCCAATAAAATGAAGTCAAATAACAATAACCAAGTCCAAGTGTATTATGTAAGGTGTAATAATAACATTAACTGTAACCAACAGTGTAGCTGGTGTTAGATAGGCGGGTGTGGATAGGAGCCAACGGATCTCCAACTCCCCTACAAGTTAAATTAGACTACAACAAAACAACTCAAAAACGAACACCTGAATGACGTGGATGATGGAAGGCAAAATGACCTGCACCCATCCAAATATGCCTTTGATATCTATCCTACTGGCGATGTACACTTTTTTCCCCTTGGAAATTAGGTTAAAAAAATCAAAAATAAAAGAAAAGGACTTTACAATGAAGATGAGACGGGCCATATCCGCGTTGAGCATAATATGGGGGAAATAAAAAGTTGGGGCGCTCTGCTGCATGTCCGGGAATACCTTGGCCTCTCTGCTTACCTTCTGTTATCTGACAGTGGAGCTGATTGGTTGATGCTCCTTCAAATTTCGATCACCTGGGAGTTGCTTCGGTTGGCTGACTACTCAGAGAAGGATTTGATGGGATGGAAGGTAGGGTGCCATTATCTTGGGGTGCCGGGCCACCCCACTTTGGTTCTGCATCAGACGGCTCAACCACATGGACTGCACCATCACTCATGCCAAGGGCGATTTGATTGGGTTCAGACGGGTGGGCTGCAATCACCATTGGATAGAGAGTGCTGCTGCTGCCACTGAATCAAATTCAGACCCAAGGTAGCTCAAGTCAGCATATAATAAAAATCCAAGTTGTAGTCATCAATGTCTACAGGGTAATCTTGAAATGTTAAGTTGATGGGGAGAAGAGGGGGCGGGGGAAGAGGGGAAAGCTCTGCAGGCAGTTTTAATAAAATAATAAAACAAATCCCAGGGATAAATAATCCCAAACCATGGCCAACCCGCCAACTAGGACGTAGCATTAGCAGGAGTTTGCTATATTGCACAGATACATGCTCGCCAACCTTAGGACATGTGCTAGGCTATGAAAGGTAGAAAAAGAAAATACTGACTTTCACAAGTTACCAGAGTAACAAAAGGACATAGAAACATTCCAAATCCATGTACCTTGTTGTGGGAGGAGGCATGTATGCGGAGGGTGCTATTCGACACCGAAGCCTCAAATTGTCTGCATCAAATACACCAACAGCACCATCACAAAATCCTGTGTAAACCAGTTGACCATCACACGAGTATATTGCGCTTGATATGGGTGCAGGAAGAGCATCTCTTGGAGACCACTGCAAAATGGAGAAGCAATATTACAGAACCCGTAAATACAACAAGTTCAAAAAGTCATATCTTGCCTAGTCAGCTAAGATTTCAAACATCATACACAGTTTATTTTCTTTTCATTTTTCAACGTTGATCTTTTTTCTACCACAAAGTAATTAAATCTTCCCTTCCTCAGTACTTCTTTTATGGTAAGCAATCAAGTGTTTGTAGTAGGAGATTTCCAAGTTAGGAATTTGCAATAATGTGATTCAATTTTTATTCAACTTGTAGTTTCGCAAGGAACAATTTCAACACATAATAGCCTAAACATAACTTCAATTGATGCTCTAAATATAATGCAACAAAATCAATGCACCAGAAGACCATTGCTAGCACCATTCCACATCTAAGAAAAGGTGATTTTTTTTAACCAGCTACAAAAGGTGAAGATTTGAACAATCTCTATCTCTATTTTTACAAAATATAAAAATTTGGAATTCCATTAGTTGCTCATCTATCCATATAAATTAGTAGTTCATCATCTCTATTCTCCAAAACTTCAAATTGGTTTGTGGAAAGGAAATAGGAAATTGTCACTACAATAAGGTCATGCAAATTGGTTTGTGGAAAACCACCGAGTAGGCAATAGATTAAGTGTGCAGACCATTTTATATAAGACAAAAAAAAAGAACTAAAAAGGGGAAGTCAAACAATTTTAGATCAGATATTAATGTGTCAATTTGAGATAAACTTACCGACCGCAGGCATTCAAGCTTGCTGTCATAGACAGCAATTTGGCTCTCATGGACCACTAACAAATGAACCTGGTCATTGTGGAATTGAACCTTGGTTTCTCCAACCAGTGGGGAAGAGCGACCGGGCGGTGCTTGTATGAACCTTGCTTTCCTTTTTTCCCATCCATCAATGCTCCACATGCAAAGCTGTAATCAATCAATAACAAGTCAAAAGCTAATACTTGCTAGTTGCCAATTATTATCAACAGAAATAATTTACTTTGAAATAGAAACCACATAACTAATACTAAGTGATGCCATGCTTTGTCCATATATATTTCCCATAAACAAAAGTTAATACATGCTTTCCATAGAAACCACATAATAGTGTGATGCCTATGCATACACATGGTACTGCCTCTTAAAACGTAAGTATGCACTTCCTCAATCAGTTACCTGTGCATCAGCTCCAGATGACACAAGGACATTCAAAGTCTGGGAAAATGCAAGACCAGTGATTCGTTTCTGGTGCCCCTTCAATTTGGTTTTAACCTGCCAAGTCAAATAAACATTAAAGATGTCTAGGAGTGAGAAATAATAGGCAAAAATAGCTCCATTTTTCTCAAGAGAAGGAAAGAAAACAAATTGGGAAAAGTGAGCGAGAATTTCCAATTTATCAACATATTTGTTGCATATGTAAGTTTCAAACACCACATAAAAGCCCTCCCAGTTTTCTCCCCATAGTGCAACCACAAGAAAAAATAATAACTATTCACATTGAATAACAAATAACAGTGCTAGCTCATGAGAATATACATCTTTCCTTCTTTTTGATTGAAATGTAGATAGATATGATTTTTTCTAGCCGTCGTGCATTTATATTTTGCACAGACAAATCAACAAAAACATTGCCCAGAGATTCCACGTGTAAACAAGAAGTGACCACAGGATTTTTGAGATGTGAAACTAATAAAATTATGCAAAGGTGTCTAAAGTGATTGCCTCACTAACTCTAAAACTTCCCCAGGGATCAAACTTAAAAGTCTAAAGAAACTCGCTGTTCATTTATATAATAAAACAAATCTAAAGAAACTCTAAAACTTCCCCAGGGATCAAACTGAAAAGACATGGGAGGCATACGCCTGGAGGTGCGCCTCCAGGTTAGGCACCCCCAAAATGCCCTAAGGCGTATGCCTTAGGTGAAAGAGGCATACACCTCATATTCCTTTTTCATGAGGCGTGCTAGAGGCATGCACCTCATGAAATAAAAATACAAAAAAATAGAAAAGAAAAGAAAGGGAAGGAAAGGGAAAGAAAAAGAAAAAGGAAAAAAGAGAAAAAGAAGGAAAAGAAAGGGGAAGGGAAGGGAAGAAAGGGAAAGAAAGTAGGCAAGCCCCTGGACTCCCCTGGCTGGGGGGGCTTGGCTAGTCTTATGCATCTTCATTCTTCTTAATATAAAAGATTTTTATTAAAAATAAAGAAAAATGAGATCCCCCTTCCACCTCTTCCTCTTCCCCCTCCTCTTAAGAACGCATTGTGTTTGGGAAGCTTATGCCTCTTATATTCTGAACTACGCCTCATGCCTCTAGGTAGTGGAACACCTCATGTCACACCTCGGTGTTTTAAAACATTGCTACACCACACTTGACACTCCTAATACTATAAGTGAGTGAATAGGACAGGGCATCACCTCATCAATCCGCACATTGTATATTTGTATGGTTGAATCCTCCATTCCTATAGCAATGATATTGTTGTCCTGAGGGTGGAATGCCAAGAAAGTGGCTGCAGGGGGAGGGGGCATGAAAGTTGTCATGACCTGTGATAGAGAAAACAGGTTGAACCAATTAGTTTTGCATATCTAAATACAGACTATTGCATAACAATTATAATAACAAAACAATCTCAATATTTTGCCCAAGCTCGTGAAAAATGGATAACTGAAATAAGATATGCCACCAGACCTTAAATGTCATCATGTTGAACAAAGAGACTTTTCCACCGGATGCAGACATTACATAAGAATCATTCTTTGATAATGCAATGCATGCAGCTGATTCTTCAGCTGAGTTGGTGTCACTAGTGTCATTAGTCATGAGAGTTCCACTTGTAGGCTGCCACAACTGTGGGGTAACAGATGCAGTGGACTGGAAAAAAACATAAATTAACTAAGTAATTAATAGATATACAAATACCAATAAAACATGTGTGTGAAAGAGAAACTTAAACAAGTAAATTCAACATAAGCATACCTTGCCAGATGGGTTCCTTTCAGTACGCTGCCATTTCCACAGTTTATGGACTGCATTGGATGCAAGTGCCAAAACAGCTAGCCCTGAGTTAGTATATATTAGCCGTACAACCTGCAAATCATGAAGCATGTATCTCAGATACTTTGAGCCACCTGAAGAAGGGAAGTTAATGCATCACATATAGCAAGACATAAAAAAATAAATAAATTCATGCATCCAGACCCACAACCTACAATCAACTCCTAACAATTTGGAAAGCCGTACCAGATTCTGGGGAATAATGAAAAACCCAAGAAAAAAAAGAGAGATATTTGTCAGAACAATAAACAGGAAACAACAATAAATCTAATAGATAATGGCATCATGCCCGTATATACAAAGAAAGAAACCTTTATATACAATAGCATATTCAGGTTTCCGCTCAAAGTAGCCAAAGTGAAACCAACATTCCATTGGATTTAACTAGTAATTTCATTGAAAGGAAAGATACTGTACCCATAAGAAGTGAACCATAGCATGCAATCTAAAGATGAGAGTTGAAAGCTTTTCTCCAACTTAAATAAAAGCAGTGATGAATAGCTAATACAAAAAAATTATATCAGGAGGTTCATTTCTGAAACATACCTTCCCTGCTGTTATGGGGTCAGGCAAACGTAGAGCTTTTAGTTGGGATGAATCTACAATATCAGGCAATTTCCAGCTTTTAACCTTGTCAACATCATCTGAAATTCTTGGCTTAACATCTGTTGACCTGCCGTTGTCCATGGGACCCTGAAGTTGGAACCGTCATTATAACAATCCCAAAACTGTGTGTCATAATAACTTCATGTAATTAGAAAAGGACAATAGCTTACAAGACTACTAATAGATACTGCTGATGTAATTCTATCAGAGCGTTCCATGGTTGGTGCTAAGGGGGCAGAAACATTGGCTACAGGACCCAGTGGGGTAACAATTGCAGGCTGCCAAGAGGTAAGAAAAAAAGGTTCAGAGACCTTGCATGCATTAAAAAGAGCAAACTCATAAATGATGAAAACAAGAAGTAGCAGCACCTTAGTATTGATTGGTTCAGTAGGACCACGAGACCCCTCAAACGTCCGGCTCTCCAGCATCCGTATTAAACGCTGCCCATCAGTGTTTGCCAAGATCTTAATTCCACTATCGCTTGTTGTGACAGCCAGTAGTGACCCTTCTTTGTTGAACCTCAGTCTAGGGCTTGCCTGCAACAAGTACCATAACATTAAAAAAAATTAGAAGCTTAGGTTTCTTAGGTTTTCAACTTGAAGTGCTTCTTTGAAAAGAACTCAGAGAGTAATACTAACAGGTAATCCACCATCAGCATCAGTAGTTGTCAACAAGTTGGTGTTGTCCATATCCCAAAACTTGATCTGAAATTCATCACCAGCAGCCAAGAAACGGTTCCTTGTTGTGTCAAACTGGACAACACCTAAAGAGCGCTTCCTAAAACCAGAGTAAGTCCTCTTGATTGCTCCTTCACTCTCATTCCACTCAACTAGGTGAGAGTCACCTTCTTTACTTGTTCCACAAGAGAACAACCTGAAGAATGCATGAGAACAAAAGCAAACAACAAATATGAAATAACACACAGGAACATAATTAATACACTAAAAAGGATAGGTTTTAACTGAAGAAGGAAAATACCAAGTGCCACTGTGCAACCTAGGGGTGGACATGAGTTGAGCTTTTCACAAGCTATTTGATCCCAGCTCATGAAAAGTTTGATTCAGCTTGGTCTAAACCAAGCTTTGAGAAAAAATCAAGCCAAATATATAGGCTCATTTACTAATCAAGCCGACCTATCCATTTATCTATCTATCTGTCCATTAATATATATAATATTTTATTTTTATATTATAATAATAAATATTTTTTATAATTCTCAATTTTTATATGTAAAATAAGAAATAATTTATTATATGTCTAATTTTCATTTTTCATGGGAAGCTTAGCTCAAAGTTGAGCTCAAGTTAAACCGAAGCTGCCGAACTCCAGGATATGAGCTTTTCGGTCGAGCTGAATTCAAGCTCAAGTCTCTAGTTCGAGACGAGCTCAAGCTCAAACTTGAGCCTCGTGTTTTTTGGCAAGCCAAGCTTGAATAGCCAAATATTTGGCTTGGTTTGGCTCATATCCTCCCCTAGTGCAATCTTATGTAGCAAGAACACCAAAACATTTATTGGATATTAGGCTTTTCACTTGTCTACAGAATACTTAAAGACAAATATCTGTATAATTTATGTTACATGTCAAATCCATTGAGATACTTTGAAATAATTTAATTGCCTGAAGCATTCCAATACAACAGAAAATGTACCTTATAGTTGACAACTCGAGTAGTATATTAAGGATACTTAACTACCCAATGAGAACAAGAGATACATGGTAAATTAAGTTTGAGTTCTATGGGAGGAAAGAAACACTAGAATCTTCAAAGATAAGGCTCAAATCAAAGAAGCTATGCTTTAAGCCTAGAAAGCATCAAAGTTAAAGTGGTTGCTTGGGTGATGATATCCTTGAAACCTTTTCAATTTTTTTCCCGTTGACAATATCATATAAGTTAGCAGCATGCTGCAATCTTGTTTACACTTAGGATACACTCTTATTGTAATTGGAGTTCATCAGTGCCTCATAATATCAAGCTAAATTTGGATAAATGCTGCTTGGCTAACCAAGATAAGTTGGGTGTAGGGGAAGTATTTAGAAACAGCTAAAGAAACACAATGACCGTATTTTCAGGGCCTATGGGTCATGTTAACACAACAAGGACAAACTATTGGCTGTTTTGCAATGTCTAAAGCTGGAATAAATTACGTCACAACCTCATTCATCAAAAAATAAATAAATTACTTCACAACCCATTGGCAGAAGGAGACTCAATAGTAGTTATGAGAAGATTGAAAAATAATGATCATGGCTCTTGGGTTTACAGGCATACAATGAAAGAAATATGATATCTAGCTAGGGAGTTTGATTCTTGAGAACAATGTTTGCACGGGCTCAAAGTTCAGCTAATACATCAGTACATGCATTATCCAAGCAACAGTTAATAGATGTATACTGCTTTGGGGAGTCATTTCTCCAGAGCACCATAAGATAAATGCTTGTGAAAGGGGTTATGTAGCAGTTGCTAGCCTGAATTACAAAGAGGAATACATGGCATTGTTGCATTATGCATCATTCTTTACCATAAATTAATATAATTTCCTATACCAATAAAAAGGTTTGGTTTCTATCAGAAGCAGCTACATGTACGATACATGTGAAACAACATGGCATCTACCAATGCCACATTTAAGACAATGGAACAGGCCCTTTTGTTGTCATTCTTTCATTGTCAGTCCAAAAGAATACAAAGGAAAGGGAGTAAGAAAAAGGAAAGGGAGTGTTTCTGTAGAGAAAAATAACAATGCAAAAAGAATAGTTCACTCTAGATCCCAAGCAATTATAGAGCCACTCAGTTTCAAGATGAGTAAATTTCACCTTGTTCCATCTGCACTATATGCCATCGTAGTGCACCAAAGTCCAGGAGCATCATAGTCCACTCTAGATCCCAAGCAATCATAGAGCCATGCTTTAATTTTCCCATCAATTGCAGTAGAGAAAATAAACTGTATGCAAAACCAAGTTATGAGATTTTGAAAATCAGCAGTGATGGAAAAGCTTAACTCTTTAAGCAATAAACACCCACTGCTTTAAGATGATAATGTCTTACACGGTTACACCAATTAGATATTTCCTCTAGGGACAAAAACAATTACCTGTATATTCTCTTTATAGTGAGGACAAACAGAATACACAGGTGCTTCATGGCCTTCAAATATATACTGCCTGCGCCCAGCTACAGCATCCCATACCTGTTACATATGTTCTGTTAGAAAAAAATAACAAATCACCATTTTTATACAAAACTAAATATGTGCATCAAGGTTGATACCTTAATTGTCTTGTCATCACCACAAGTGACAATACATAGTTGCTTATTGGGATGAGCAAAGGCAATATCATTAACACCACCAATATGAGCATCAATCTACAATACAGAATGGGCATTTAGCAATATATAATATTAAACAATGAACAAAAAAACTATGATGCAAAGCTACCTCTAAGTGTTGTCTCAATTCTCCAGTTGGGTTGTACATATATATTTGAACAATATGCTTTGAAAATGCAACACCTAAAACAGAATGTTTCAAAACATACAAAGATGAGGAATAAAAAAAATGATCAGACACAAGAAAAAGGTCCAGTGAATGATAAAGAACTAAAGATAATACTAAAGAAAAAACTTAGTCATACCAAGTATGGATCCATCAGGGCCCCAAATGCATCGGTTCACAGATATTGTAGCATCTTTCATCAATGCTGTCTGGAAATATATTATGAACATTTTTTGGAAAAAATAAGTGTAATTAACTAATGGGATGTAAGAAAGGAAATGAATCATACATGCAAACTCAAAACTTTGAATAGAATATAATAAGAGTTCTGGCCCATTTAGATTCCACAAACAAATGAATAATACCTGCAAGGGCATTGAACAAGCTGAGATATCCCAAACCTTAAAGGTTTTATGTGCTAACCGTTCTCGAGACCCAACTTCCCAAATTGAAATTTCACCAATATTTGTACCCACTAAGTAAACCAAAGGAAAAAAGAAAAGCAAAGATTAGCAATTTAAGACCATTAAAGTTGTGGCCTGAAAGATATTCTACAAATGCCAATAGCAGAATTTAACTAACAAATGAAAAATATTCAGCAAGGCACCAACCAAGAAGAATTGTCTGTTGCTGTGGATGGAAGTCCATGCTCATCACATTGGATCCTTGGCCAAGTGTCCGTACAACAGTTCTAGGAAGGTCATCTTGGGAATAGATATTAGGAGGATGTGTAGCACCAGAAAATGAAACCTAAAAGAGCATATTGAGTGGATGTAGTCATGTGAGAATGCAGGGGAGGGGTAACATATTGAGYATTGTGCCAAAGGACATGATTATAAATCTAGAGAACATGCTTTTTTATCCCTTCATACCTCATCAGATTGTCCAGTTCGAATTCGCTTCATCAAATGCTCTGAATCAGCTGACTGATAATCCATGCCTGGAGCACTCGTAGGAGTCCTCGGGTGCTTCAAGAAAGCAGCTGCAGACAATACAAAATGCAATTATCAACTTGGCAGGCTCCATTACTCAACTGAACATATATCTAGAATCAGTACTTGTCAAAATTAAAACATGAGAGAATATGCACCACCTGCATTAGGAGGCTGCACAAGACTAGGAGGGGCTGCTGCCACAGCAGCATGAGGTAAAGAAGGATTGGGGCTTGACATCCACCCTGCAATAGCACTGGCAGAAGGCGAAACAACTGGCTGAAAAGGCTGCCAGCAAAAACGAATGATGTAAATAAACAGTTTTTAAGATATCAACAACTATGGTCATGCAGATTGTCAGCTGCAATGTACTTACACTATGTGCACCAATAGGAGGAAAAGCCCCAGCTTTAGGAATCGGTCCAACAAGGGGGCTATTGGTGGGGGGTGGAGCACGAGCCCCATTATTAGGGGCACAGGTATGATCAGTGAAAAGTGTCTTGATATCAGGGTTTGGTCGTGGATTCTTGCATAGCTGATGCTGCCAATTCAAACTGGAAATTCCAGGAAAAATAAATTACAATCAGAGAAAACATCTAAAATACAGCAGATCTCAGATAAATATTAACACAATAGATGGGATCCTTAAGCATTACAATCAGATAATGTGATCAACTTCTGTGTTTCCTTTTTGGTATGTTTGGTTGCTGCGATTGGGATGGGGAAATGGGAATATTCCCATTAGATTCCCATTTTCGTGTGTTTGTCCGCTGGGATGGGATGGGATGGGAAACTGTGGGATGTTGATTCTCAAAACCAAGGATGCGGGGTCACACTGAAATGATGCGACCCCAGTGAGAAGAGAAAATTATGAGAAAAAAATATCGAGACTTTCGACTGAAGCTCCACAGCCGTCCTCTCATTGTCTACCTGAGTCTACAACGTCAAGTCTCTGACAACATTCCCGATGACATCCGGCCAAGATAAGACCAGATCCATGACCACCGAGTAAAGGCGATTATCTTATTCACGTTTTTGGCATCATCGATCTCCTCATGCCGTTGGGAAGACATGGTCGTTTGTCGGCTAAAAGCTATTTCTTCCGGCGGTATAGAGGTAGATGTTTTACAGATCAACACTTGTTCTTGTAGATCTAACATGTTTATGTCTTTTTTCTGGGTTCAAACATTCCCATTAAAACGCGTCAATGTGCTAATGCCTTTTTCTGGGTTCAAACCTTCCTGTTAAAACGCGTCAAGGCAAGAGTTTTCTTCCCTCAGATCTGTTTTTCCCATGAGATATGTTTCTCTTCCCTCAAATGTGTTAAAACAGGTCCTGATTATTCTTTTTACTTTTTTTATTTTTATATGTTTTTCTCGTTGGGGTGAAGATCGGAAGCAGTGAGAACAACTTCAGATCTTGCTTCTCCCTTGTATCCTCTGCAACTTTGAAGGTGACAAACCCTTCCTACATGCTCCTACCTTTCGATCTTTGCTGAAGTACTGATTTATAAATATATTATTATTTGTTAATTTTTTCTTGGCATTCTTCTTTTACTAATAGAAAAAAATGTTGATCACTAAACATATATATTGCAGAGACATCTCTGTGAAACATCTTTCACTCTATACAGGAAACACTTTACAAGTTAGTTTCCCCCTTTCTACTGAAATAAGTCGAGTGCTTTATAGATAGGAAATATTCCCAAAAAAAGTTTGGTAGATATGGTATATGTTAATGAATGAAACCCCAAGCTAAAAGATTTGATTCAGAATACAGAAATTTCACACTTTAAAAGAGTTCTAAAATCTTACCTAGACAAATACCATGCCCATCAACTTGAACTAGTGGAAGATGCAACATGGAAAATTCAATAGTTCCAATGCTCATGATTTTTTAATATCAACATGTCACGTGGCAAAATTCAATTGTTACTATGCCATGTCACCTCATAAATAAGGGTTGTGTTGTGGAGTTGGAGAATGCATGGATTTATCAAAATGGAATGAAACCAGGCATCCTGCAAAATTTTCTAATCAACCAAACACTGGAAAGCATATTATATAGGATAATGGCTCTCAGCAAACAAACACGGTGTGCCAAAAATGAGAAAAAAATCCCTTTCTCATCTCATCCCAATGTTTCTCGACAACCAAATGGACCATTTATGACCAAGACAGTATTAGTCAGGTGAAATTAAATTAAATGGAGAAAATAATTCAAACTTGAAAGAACATAATAAATAACAGAATCTGGGAAAACACAACTAGGGCAAGTTAAGAATGCATATATATTACCTCTGGTTAATCAGGGTTCTCAATCGTGAAGCTTTGAAGGGTGGGAATGTGAGCTTGTCCCTGAATAAAGGATTTGCTTCTATAAGCTTTTTAAGTTCCATAAGCATGATATTCCGAGCTGATTTGGTATCACCATATTTGGAAAGCTGTTCATTCTGTCTGATAACATAAATACAGCACCAAGAAAAATGCATTAGATTCACACGTCAAAGTGCACAGATTTTTTGTTTTGAAGGGCAACCATGGCCACAGAATTCACAACTGGCATCAGCAATGAGTACCTAAAGTTCTCAAGAGTGAGAAGCTGGGTAATTTCCTTGAACAGTTCTTCATTGAAAGAAGCAAAAACTTTAAGATCCTTTACAAGAATTTCAACTGCTTTTGCACGATCATGCCTGGGTAAGGAAACACGTAAGAATTAAATACTTGTTCTAAACCTAACTAGGTTTCTTTGAAAGTGCTTTCAAATGACAAAAGCAAAGACCAACCGATCAAGAGCTTCCAAATACTTCTGTTTCCTTATCTCAAAGAAAATTTTCATTGAGTACCGATTATCTTCAACCTTTGTAAACCCACATAAATATTTTTCAACTTCATCCCATTCACCCGCCTGAACTTGATCCTCGAAGTGTTTCATATTGAAGAAAAAACCAGACTCTTGTTCCAACCTAGGTAAATACACAAAAATGAGAAAACGGAGACCATTAAATTAACTATAATAGAATTTTAATTTTGCTAAGGATGTTGAACTCATTATTTCTACTTAAATAAAAAGCATCCACAAGGGGCAAAAGATAGACTTACTTGTGGACTGTTTCCTTGAACTTTTCCTCGTCCAAGAACTGTAAGATTAAAAATACCAGTTCCCTGCTCAAGGAAGACATGGTTCCCGGTATCCCTAATCGCTCCAGCGCAAAGATCTGATATCAAACTATGAATGAAGACTGGTGACAACAGGCCTAGGTAACACCACGACAAGAATCGGCTACCAAATCCTCTCTCAGTCTTCCAAAACTTTCCTCTTCCTCTATCTACTACCTCAACAACAACTAACTTAAACAACAAGGAGAATGCTCTTCGCTTTTGCTACAACAATTTCATCAGAACCTTTCTACTAGTACAAAACAATAAGATCTCAACCGAAACAACACAAAACCCTAAACCTCACTTCTGACAAAAGAGGCACAAGCTAACTATAGCGTTCCGTCACTTCACCTTCGAAAAAAAAAGGTTTCCTTTTACCATTTCTCGAACAGAAAACACAGAGATCTGAGTCAAACAACACACAACAGAATGGAGAAGCTAGTAAAACCTCCTCTACACCTCTTCGTGGTTGTCGCCTTCAAAAAACTTCCTCTTCTCCTCCTCGTTGACGAAAAGCCTCAGTGAAACCCTAATTTTCAAAGTACAAACTCACACTTAACGATCCAATCAACAAAAAAAATCCAAAAAATAAATAGCAAACATTTTCCAGAAAATAAAAATACAAAAATCTACGTTCACAGAAGCAAGTATCTCTTCAAGTTTCAACTGATCTGACGAGTACAAAATGCAAACATCTTTATCTAAAAAAACCAAAAATAAATAAATAAATAAGGCGAGACCGGGACCTTACTCGTGTTCAAGTAGTAAAGAAGCAAGCAAGAACCATTTCTAGGGTTAGGGTTTTAAGCAGTTGCTTCCTTTTGCTTCTTCTTCTTCTTTATCTCGTCTCTGCAACCTCTGCAACAACTGTCTCGCTCTCGCTCTGGTTTTTGTATCTTTTTCTCACTCTATCCCTGTAGGCCGCCGTGTTCGGTTTTCCCTCTCTATTTTCGTGTTCATTAAATAACCCTACGATATAGTCGCTTCTCTCTCTCTCTCTCTCTCTCTCTCTCTTTAGGCTTTTAAAGCAAAAAAAACCGCGATTAGGTTGCTTCATCATTTCAGCTTTTTCTTTTTTTTTTTTTTTTTGAAAATTTCCAAACCAACCCACTTCAGTTATAATTCACCATCAAAATTATCCAATTGCCCCTTTCCCCATTTTGTCTTTCGTTTCATCCCCATTCTGCCCTTCTCCTTTCTCTATAACTAATATTGCTTTACCCATTTGATATTTGGACCACAATTTCTTACAAATTAAATAAAATTTAATATAAGTTTCACGAACTGTCATTGTTACACAAAATTGTGAAAGCCTTACCTTTCTAAGTATATCAACTAATTCGAATCAATTATTCAAGAAAGATATCTTATAAGATTCACTCCAACCTTCATCCTTATTTCACCAAAAAATCACATATTTATAGAAAACAATCATCACAAATATATGCAACACGGCTCTTTTATAAGAAAGTAGGAAAAAATGAATCATAAACTCAAAAAATGTTTTCCATATGAACAACTACATTAATGAAAGCGATGGCCACTTTTGATATTATAAGATATTGATGTAAATGGCAGTGCTTCTCAACCTACCAATCATATGGTCCCCCTTAATTCCTAAAGCCTTTTTTTTAACAATGGTGATTTTTTTTCACTAGAAAAAAAAAAAGAGAAAACTCCAATAAGGATTTTACATTTATTAATAAAAGTGTAATTATTTTAAAATAAAATCACGTATTATATTAATTTTATTAATAATAATGTCTTGTTTGATATTTTAAGGTAAGATATGCCCATTTTACAGAAAAGAAAAAGGAATTTTCACTTAATAAAATTATCAATTGATAGGATTGATTAGTAGGTAAGTGCCGGAGGGTAGAAAAGTCATATCGTGTGTAAGAGGACAATGGCGTCTCGTCTTTTAAAAATGTGATTAGGGGCGTTTAGGTCATTTTCCAACAATTTGATTCCCAAGGGCCACGTCATCCTACCTCGTACACATTAACTCCTTTATTTTTTTAATTTAAAAATAAATTTCTTTTTAACTGCAATATATCTTAATCGGCCAATCAACACGTCATTTTCTAATGTAGTGCGGGGTAGCTGTCGAGTCAGAGTTGATACGCACGTCTAGTTATCAAGGGCTTTCGATAAGCGAAGTCACGTCCCTGACATCGTTGTCTTCATTTTTCCTATTTTCTATTAAAGAGGAATAAAAGCGTACGGTCAGATTGGGTGTGAGGACAGGACGCAGACTAATGCTGGCAACAGCCAGCTGGAGGTTAAGTTCAGTAGGGAAGCGTGAACGTGCCAGTTGGAGATTTGTCGGCACGTGAGTATGACAGGTAGCACGTGTGAGATTTTTGAAAGAACCTGAGATGCAGAGTCGCCACGTCGCTGTTTATTTTACACAAGCCAGGAAACAGGGGATGGGATTCCCTTTTCTGGGTCTTCTTCCTTTTGGGGCTTCGGGAAGCTCCGGTTTTTCTTTTCTATTTTTTTCTTTAATGACAGTTCTGTCCTTTCCTTTTCTCGTAATTGCAGCACATCACGGTCATTATTGTACTTGCCAAAAGGACTCACGGAGTAAAGCCCTACGTGGTAGGCCCTACCCATCACCCTTGAGATTGGAACCTTTCGCTTTCTCAATTTATAGCTGATTTAGACAGCATACACTGATACACATATACAAACCTTCCGTATTAGACAAAAGATCCTGATCGGATGGTTATTATTCATCCACGTTGGTGACCCCACCTGATGCTTGGAAATTGAGACGACCTCAAAGTCAATGAATAATTAAGGCGTTAAATTTAAAATAAAGCATTGGACTCATTAACTTAATTTGTATTAGCTTAACAATGACTATTAAAAGGCAACTGTGTCTCATTGACTCATAACTCATCTTGTGTCTCATTCTGACTGGGGAGGGGCCCAGATGAGGATAACAGATTCCAAATTGAGGGTTGACCGGGTATATGGAGCACTATTGTGCATTAGATTTTGATTTTAAGTAGACCCCACCTGAGTTAATGCTTCACTATCCGATGGTCAAAACTAGGCCCCACATCCTCTTGCTAAATTATATATATATATATATATATATTCAATTGATGGAACAAGGGGCCCACTAGATTGGCTCTGTGCTTACTTTTCTTGGACCTTAGTGATGGTAACAGCTGAATGCTTCAAATTTTTTTACTTAAAAAAAGGGCCCATGACAGAGAACTTAAACAGGCCACTTGGCAAGTGATTTTTGGAGATTGGATTTGCCCTAGATTCCTATTGGGCCACAAGCTACGCTTCCACGTATAAGATTCTTTTGTTGTTTAAATAGTTCTGTAACTTTCTTGTCCTAGCGAGTTCATTTCACAAACTGTCGGTGTTTGCAATTTTTATTTGGGGCCCATGTAATCGGTTGGGTTGATGGGTTTCCAAATCCAGATTAGGGTCCTCTGGTCCTATTCTTTTTTCCTTTTTCTCCACAAACCGTGGGCCTCCACTTTGTATGTTTCCTTTGTTGAAACTGAAATAAGACACTGGCTCTATCTTTTATTGGTGCATAAAAGAAAAGAAAAAAAGTTATAATTTTTTTAAAGGGATTTTATTCAATAAAAGGGACCCTCGCATGATGAGGCTCTCTTCTTGTAAACTAGTGTTTTCAAAGCAATTGCTTTCTAATCAAACACTTCGCTACTCATAGACGGGGGCCCCCTTATCAAATCACAAGCCCTGATATGAGAGTACACTCGTGAGTAAGGACATAAGTGGGGTTGGGTTTAAGTGATAAGTAAGCCTGTCTTGACCCGATTTGATTGGGTTAGCCTAAACAGGGTTCTTCGTCTGGTTCAAGTTGAGTGTAACATCCATGCCAAAACCATTCTATTGATATAGTAGCATTGAAACATTTGAAAATATAGATACTTTTTGGGAGGGCTTATGTGTGGTGATTGATCTGTTCTAACTAGAGGTCGTGGTTCGATTTTTCAAACCAAACCGGTATTATGGTTTTAGAAAACTGGTAACCATAATCGAATCAAAGCCAATCAGTTAACTGGTTGGCTGGTCCGGTTAACCTCAGTTCGGTTTGTCATTTTTTTGGTTTGTTATATTTATAATGTATACTATAAATAAATGTATAATAAAAAATCTAGAAATACATATAAAGTATTAGATTTTAAATGATAAAAATATATTATATATTATATACATATATATAGAATGCATATATATTAATCTATAATACATAGATAATATAAATATATATAATATATGTATATATATATATATATGTATGTATACCGGATTCGATCTCATAGGTTTAGTTTTGTTTTTTTGGTTTTTGATGGTCACCCCTAGTTCTAACTGAGCTGTTTCTAAGAAGCTATGTACCATAGTTTCACCAGGAAGTTAATTTTTTGACTTGTGTAAACCTATAACCTATTTTTTGGGCTTTTGGATTTTACCAAACGAGACCTCAAGACCTTCAAAGCTTCATGGCTCATACAATGTCAGAAGCCCCTGTCTGAAAGCCCTCCCAAACAGGCACATAGCCTTCACTTGAGTATAAGGGGGCGTTCGTGGGACGGGTTGGGTCAGGTTAGAGACTTAGAGTGTATTTGGGTCGGGTTTGGGTTGAGCCAAAGCACATGCCGAACACAAGTTGTTGGTTATTTTGGGTCAAAATCAGGTTGGATCGGATTGTTGAACCAATGGTCCAATGAAGCAGTAAACCCCATAGCTGGTTTAACTGGTAAAATCAGTGTCCCGTTGAGCTTTTTTGATTTTAAGTCTGCCGGGTCTGACAGCATTTTCAAATTCAGCATATTAACAGAGAGGGGAAGAGAAAAAGAAGGAAAAGAAGATGCTTTAATGTGGTCTCGGGACCACGCTAAGGGCTGTTGTCGGCTGTCCTTGATGGTCTGATTGTAAATGGAAAAACTAACTCCGAGGCATATTTTACAACTTTAATACAGACCAGACCACAGAGACTCTATTATTTTGTAGGCTAACTTTTTTTTTGTGATCCAATGAAAGTACCGTTCACGAGGGGGAAGCGTATTTATCGTCTGATTAGAATCCATTTATTACACATAACCATCCTGTACTAGAAATAATCCCATCTGACACCACCCCACCTGATACCAATCCAACTCTTAAAAGCGCCTCCTCATGTGAGGGACCCCTTACACCTAAAAGGCCACTTATGTCGCCATCACATCTAGATTAGATCATCAAGTAGAAAAGAAATCTTATTTGAAATTCTAATTTTGCCCCTCACACCGAGACGCCGAGTGAGTGAGTGTTTTACTTCTCATATCTATTGAATTGTTGCATTTGATTTGACATGGACTTCTTCTTCTACACACTCAACTGTTTGCGTATAAACTGTTTGTGAAATTGTGCCATCCAAGGTCTTCATTTACATCGATGTGGAAAGTCTTCAATGACAAGGACAACAAGCCAAGTGGAGATGGGGTGGGGAGTTCATTTCCAAACTCCCAACAATTTATTAAGACTGGAGCTTCGGAAACGTCATCAGGGATGGTCTTCTTATTAATGAGGAGTTCTGGAAACAGGACCTGAGTTGTTGAAGGAACATGTGCCAATCACAATGCCGCCTGGAAATGGTATACACCTCACACAGAGAAGGTGGAGATTTGTTTACAATTGAAAAGGAAAGCAATCTACTTTTCTAGCTAAATCCAATAAAGACTGGGTTGGCATAAAAGAATAAATAAATAAAAATTGGATCATGTTGCAGAGACCCCTTCCGGCCTTCCCCAAAATAAAATAGCGCGTGACAAAACTAGGACTTTAATCGGATCGGACTCTGATCGGATCAGCAACATCCAAATCCGATCTGATTAATGAAAGTTTACATCCGAATCTGATTGGATTTGAAATCGGATTCAAATTCAAATATGAGCGGACTTGATCGGATTTGGATTTAATTCGATTTCTCTTTAATCTTTTAAAATGTAAAAAAACGT